TTTGAAACCCTAACCCATTGACCTTAAATAACAAATACCACGCTTAGAACCCAAATAAGAGAGCATCCAGTCCCCAAATCTTGAGCTCTTAAGTTTTTACATTAATCCTAAACCTCTCCAAACCCTAATTAGCCTTAAAAAACCGTAATGAGGTCCCGATTACCCCCCAATTAGGCATAGTTTACCTCAACCTAATTAAGTTCTAATCCCTAGCTTTAGGACCCCAAAATCCTTTGATATTCTCTTGCTCGTGAATTTTAAGCCCCAAATCTCACACACTTAGTTTAAACCTTTAATTCGGTCTTGAATCCTAACTTTTTCATCCTATGTTGGTCCTCTATCTGTGCACACTATCATGTACCCTTCCACTGTACCTTCACCTCCAAAAATCATCCCAATAGCTCCCATCTATCAGAAATCGCCCTCATATCATCACCTTGGTGTCCCCAACATAAAGTTTATAGGTATGATTTGACTCCCTTTTGTTTGGGTTCTGTGTTGATGATACCTACATTTTACATTTTCTCTTTCCCTTGTGTGTATTTTGGGTGCAATTTGCATACACATGCATCCGTAGGTGTAGAGGTAAGGTGCACCTTCAAATTTTATCATGGTATATAATTTTGGTGTAAAATATTTTTAGGATTATTTTAAAATCTATTTTTATATCTAATTATAAATTTTTAATTTTAAAAATAATTAAAATCAAGTAGATCTATAAACATATGAAAATCTCAAAAATGGAAGGTGTAGATAATATGTTATAAAATGCACTATTTCTGAGACTTAAAATCTTTTTATTTTTCATAGTCATACATATCGATGTTGAGATCATCAATCATAAGGTTTTTCAGCATTAAAACTACCTTTTCCAATGGATTTTTGAGGGGCATCTGTAGTTTTACATTATAAGGTAGCATCTTTATATAAACATTTTCCATATATTTTTTACCTTTTAATTTATTTAACAAAGCTTTAGTTTTATCTCATTCAAATCCTAGTTTACTTGTAATATTGTTTGCAAATAGGTCATTTATCTTTTGTACATGGAGGTCACAATCATTTTTATCCCTTAAATTTCAAAATGGATGGTTGTAAAAGTGTCATTGAATGTGCACAACGTTCCCAAAAAAAAAAAAATCGGACTTTGTGACTAACCCTAAGTCATCCAAGTTGAAATCTAATGAGTATGAATGATTGTGACCTCTATGTACAAAAGATAAATAATCTCTTTATAGACAATCCCTTTATTTTTACATATTATTTTTAACTTAATTATTTCAAATGTTTTATAGTCACCACAAGTGTACAAATATAGCTATATAAGTACATAGAAAGGGCACGTTTGGTTTGTTCCACAAGTGTACAAATATAGCTATATAAGTACATAGAAAGGGCACGTTTGGTTTGTTCGTAAATGTCTTCCTAAGAAATTTTTCATGTGAAACTTGCATTTCATAAGTACGTTTGGTGTGTAAGAAATAAATCCCATGGTAAAACATTTTACAATGAAATAGTCTAATTCAAGGTAAAACCTAACATCACCTCTTGAAGGGGAGAAACATTCCCCGTGTTTTTTATTTTCACACGCAAACCCACTATTTAATATTCACTAGTATAATAGAAACCCCTAAATCCGAAAGGATATTAGTGCATTCATGGGCGACCCGAGAATCGCCAACAACAATGGTGAGAGAAGGCAAACAAAGGCCAGGAACTAGCGTAACCCCCCATTCGAAAGCAAATTGCATTGAGTACTCTTCGTATATATCATATACTATTATTTAATATATAAAATAATATATTTATATATCGATTATTTGTAATATAAAATATATATAATATATTTATATTATTAATTTTATATATCTATTGTTTAT